ATAAAGTATATTAGTTAATTTAACTAATTGCTTAGTGCTAGTAAAGACTAGGCTTATTTCTCCTACACCTTGCGCCTTAATTGTATTACTAGTATTACCCCACTTAATAGATGTATTAGAGGGTCTTAGGCTAGTAAACAATTCTTTAATATAGCAAGTGTGTATAGTTGCTCTAGAGTCTAGGATAAAGTCTATAGTACAAGAAGTATTATTAGACTTTGCAGAAGAGAAGAGTATTTATTCTTCTTTGCTTATAGTACTACTATTAATAGATTTATCCTTTCTTAAGCTAGGATATTTTCTATAGCAGCTAGACTCTAGGTGTCCCCTTAATTTATAATAGTTACACTTTATAGTAGACTTTATTCTTGTCTTACTAGTGTTACTATTATTAGAACACCATTCTATTGAAATCTAAGAAACTAGTTGAAAAATACTAAGAACAATACTATTAGAATCAGCGAGTCGAGCCGCACCCAACGACACCGCGATGGCAGCGATGCAGGGAGTGCAGCGCGAAGGAGATGGGGGCGGCCAGCCAGACGCGGTACCAACGCGCCTGGCCAGCAACAGACCCAACAAAGGAAGGGAGGAAGGGGACCACCCTAACCAGAGAAAGGAGATGCAGGGAAGGACAGTGAAGGAGATCTTAAGAGTACTAACAGAACAACAGAGGAAGGGAGCAGAAGGACTTAACACAGTCACCACTATCCAGGGCGCAACGCAGGTCGCCCACGACCTCCTGGCAGCTCTCAGCCAGGTAGAAAAAATTTTCACCACTAGGCTGAGAACCCCACCACCAACGACGACGGCGCAGGGCAGGCTAGGAGCACTACAAGCAGTGCTCCAGAAGCTCAATGCCATGGAAAAGAAGATGGAGGGCACCCGGGTCAGGATACAGGAGAAGGAGGGACAAGGAGGGCCGCGCACCTGGAGCCAGGTGGCGGCCAAGGGAATCAGCCAACCCGCAAGGGTTGAGCTGAGATTGGAAGAGACGGAGGGAACTAAGGGAGAGACTACCCAAGCGCAGCTAGAGCGCATCCGGGTCGTGATACCTGACGCGCGCGCGATCATAACCCATCCAAGGTCTGTGCACAAGGTGTTGGTGGTGGTTAGGGACACCACCCGTCGCGACCAGATCATCCAATCTGGCCTACTAGGTGCTGAGGGCATGAAACTGATCAGGAAGCCACACCTAGTCATGGTCTCTAGTATCCCACTCAACACGCCTATTAAGAACTCAAAATGCGCAGAGAACAAAGAGTGGATTGCCCAAGCCTACTCCTGTAACCTAGGTATCAGGATCGAAAGGGTAGCGTGGCTCTACTCCGATAAGAACCTGAAATCCAGACGGGACGGGGGCAAGCAGACGAAGGGATCCCTGCTCATGAACGTTGGGACGGAAGAGAACCAGAGGAAGCTGGTCAAGTCCGGCTTCCTGATGGGGGCTGAGTGGCACCCAGCTCAGCTCTGGGACATCTCCCTCACAGATGGACAGTGCTTCAAGTGCTGGAAATGGGGCCACACCCAGTCTGTCTGCAACGCCACTAAGGAGGCGTGTGGGCACTGTGCTAGAGACCACGCCACTAGGAGCTGCAAGAGCACCAATGAGTTGAAAGCCAGCTATGCGTGTTGCAAGCAGAAGGGACACAAGGCCTAGATGTCACGCTAATATAGGGCCTACCAAATGTTTCAGACCATGAACAAAGAGACTAAACAGAGGCTATAGTGGCAGACGCTCTAGATCTAGTCTAACTAGGGACAAGGGTTCTTAGGACCAACCATCAGCCTTAGCGGCTCTACGCTGGCCAGTAGAGCCAGCTCAGCAAGAGGAGACGAAGCGGAATGGACAACCGTTCCAGTCGCTGGGGGAAACAAGAGGAGAGCAGCAGTCAGTTGCCCCACCCACATAAGCAGGGCCACCAGCGCCCTAGGGCAACAGCGGATATTCACATTCTGTCAAGAAACTAGAGACAACAACACGCTAGCTGAGGAAGCCGTTCGATCCACCTAATAAGAGGACTAGGCATTATCCAATATAACTGCGGAAATGCGAATGGAGGAGCAGCAAGGCCACTCCTAGACTCAGTCATCCTGGCGTTGTTCCTGGTCATTGCAATCCAGGAACCCATGATTGGAAGCTTAACAGGTAGGCACACATACTGCCCCAAGAACTACTAACTAAGCCGCCCCCTACGCTAGGGGATGAAGGTGGTATTCCTTATATACAACTAAATACCACTTACTAAAGTTAAGAGCACGTTAGCTACTAACCTTACTAAGGGAATCTAAGTCTGCACGCAAGGCTAGTAGACCCACATTATCAACGTTTACAGCCCGCCTATAATACCAGGCTAGGAAGCCACACACACCATCAAAGCATGGCCGGCAATCAGGAACGCCATCTAGGACGCTCTGCCCAACGCTGCAACTCTAATTATTAGAGACTTCAACGCCCACCACCTAGAATAGTTAGGGAGGAATACACTAGGAGAACTGCAGGCAGAACAGCTCTGTGCTAACATGGCTAGTTAGGGATTCTAGCTCCTAAACAAACTAGGGGTACTAACCTAGAGAAGAGGACCCCTCTAATTAGTTATAGACCTAGGGTTTGCTACAAGGGTTGTAGCAGACAGAGTCACAACCTACTAACTAAGAGAGGACTAGGCTGTTATAAGGGACCACGTCCTAATTAAGATCTAGATAGACACAAGCCCTATAGCCAGGAAGGAAAGCAAGCAGTTCGCCCTTGCAAAGGCTGACTGGGACAGGATTAAAGATACTGTGAACTAAGGCAACTGGACCTAGGCGACAGGAGGAGAGGCTATTATAGGCCTTATTAAACAAGTTAAGGAGGCACTAACTAAACACTGCCCTACAAAGAAGACCCGCAACAGAGCGAGGCCTGATTGGTCACCTGAAGCAGCCACAATACTTAACAAGGTAAAGAGGGCTAGACAACTAGCACAACAGGACCACACAGGAGACAGCGAAAGGGCGTGGAAAGCCCTCTGTAACAGACTAAAGAGAGTCCTGCAGTCAAACGCTAGAGCACATTGGAGAAAAGTAGTGGCAGACCTCACTAACAACAAAAACTTGGACAACGCCCTAAACAAGGGTCTGTAGAACCTATCTAAGTAGAGCTAGAAAGTTAAGAGCAGGGGTGAGGGGACAGCAAACGTCCTACTACTCCAGAGGTCAGCAGAAAGCGAACTCGAAGCCTCAAACGAGGAGAAGGCCAGGATCCTAGGGGAGCGCTTCTTCCTAGCTAGTGGGGCGGCAGACCTGTCAGACATCAACCCCATCACAGAGTACCTACGCTTCCACCTGGCGCTAGAGATATCCCTAGACGAATTAAAGGAGGTCATCTCCTCACTACCTAATAACAAGGCACTAGGACCTAACTAGATACAGAATAAAGTATAGAAAACTCTTAAGGAGGACATTGCAGATAGAGCCTCTGCAGCAATCTCCTAGGTGCTGAAGGACAGCAAGGTACCTATGCACCTTAAGGAATCTACAACTGTTGTACTACGCAAGGAGAAGAAAAAGGACTACTCCCTGCTAGGGAGCTACCACCCTATCACATTAGAAAACACAATAGCTAAAATTATAGAAAAGATCGTCGCTAACAAGATCACGAACGCAATGGAGGACAAGGAACTTACGCCATAGAATTAAATAGGAGCCCGCAGGAAGAGGTCCACACTCACGGCTGTAGAACTCCTCACAGGCACAGTCACTACGGCATAGGGGGCGGGTCAGCCAGTGGTCTCAGTGCTTGCACTTGACCTGGCCGGAGCATTCGACAACGTAGCTCACAATCGCCTCACATAGGTACTCCAACATAAAGGCTTCCCTAAGTGGATAGTTGTATACATAGAGGCCTTCCTTAAAAACAGACAGACAAAGATTAGCTTCAACAACTACAGCAGCCTATAGATAGAGACGAACACTAGTATACCACAGGGATCCCCCCTGTCGCCTGTGCTGTTCCTACTCTTCATCTCTAACCTACTAGAGGACCTAAGCAAAGTCCAGGACAAGTGCCTAGGCTTTAGCTTTATGGACAACACAAACATCATAGTATAGGGACTATCTACAGCAGACAACTGCAGGAGACTTACAAACACCCACACGCAATGCAAACAGTAGGTATCTAGATTTAGAGCAAGGTTTGCCCCTAAGAAATACTAGCTTATGCACTTCACTAGGCAGCAGAACAAGGGAGACAACCTCCTCTCCACAGTAATAGTAGGAGACTAGCTAGCTAAGATTGTTACAATAATAAGAGTACTTAGAGTATAGATAGACCTAAAGCTCTTGTAGAAAACGCACATCTAGAAGGTAGCAACAAAAGGAGAGATGGCGTTCCACGCTATGTCTAGGATTATAGCATTGTTATAGGGCCCATCAGTCTGCAAGTCACAATTAGTATACACAGTAGTGGCACGTCTAATTATGGTATACAGATCCCAGATATGGTCAACAGGGCAGGGAGGCAAAGGCATAGACGAGGCAAAGATTTGCAAGCTAGCGGTGGTCTAGAACAAGTGTCTGAGGCGGACGCTAGGGGCCTATAAGAGAACACTAGTGGCTGCAATTAAGAAAGAGAGCAGAACACCGCCACTATCCCTGTACATACAGGCAGTAACCCTCTAAAGGGCAGTTATAACAACAAATCACCTAGTCACAAAGAGGATTAAAGAGACACTTAACAAAGTATAGGCCTTAGCTACTACAGGTGGACAAGCAGCAAGATGGGGCAGGCCAGCGAGGATCCTCACTCAGCCACAAACTAACATAGAGGGCGCCCGCTAAATAGGGAGAAAACTTATTAATAAACAAATAGCGCGTAGGCAGGCTGAGGCTGCCGCCACAGGTCTAAGGAACAAGCCTAACAGAAGGCAGATACAGTTAAGGAGCACGATTAAGGAGATTGCCATGGACCTTACGGACAGATGGAGGAGGAGATGGGAGCTTTAGGCAGCAAAACCTCACAGGTTGGCGCCTACATGGAAGGAGAGCTGGGATTTCCAGCCACTGCATCTATATAACGGCGTTCCCAAACACGTAGCTACAGCAATTGTGTTGCTACGCACAGAGGTCCTCGGGCTCAAGGCGTGGCTAGCACAAATTAGGGTACTAGGCACCAACCCTGACTGCACGTGCGGACACCCTAGGCAGACTCTTAGCCACGTCCTCTCGTTCTGCCTAGACTAGAGGGAGGCGAGGCTCAAGCTGATGGAAAGGGCAGGCACAACAGATCTCCCACGAATTCTAATAAACCAGGAGAAGGTTGTAGCAGCAGGCAGGTGGCTGTTGGACACAGGACTGCTAGAGCAGTTTTAAGTGGCGCTAGAGGTGGAACAGACTGACACTAGGGGGTGGTCCCTATTTACAGCTATAGGCTAACACCCACACAAGCCCTTCTGCTCCCCTACTATAGGGCAGCACAGACAGGTACTAGACAGGACTATGACAGAAGGCAACAGACACAGACAAGGCGGGGGTTTTTAGCTCTAATAGAGCATGTTGGCCCTAATCACGAAAGCGAGTACATAGTGTTCATAGACCTAAAAGGGAACTAGGCAGCACTCTAAATTGAAATCTTACTTACTTACTATTATTATCCTTAGTCTGCATAGACATTTCTATATTATTGCTATAACTAGAAGAATCTTTACTACTATAAGGCTCTCTTACAGTATTACCTCTATTAATAGTCTTAAAAGACCTAATTCTTCTAGATTTATCTAGTAACTACATTACTATCTCTTCTAAGGTTATAGTATTAGAAGTTCTAATAGACTACGTAATAATAGTTACTATATACTTATATTCCTTACTTAGATTATTAAGTAGGAGAGCAATAATAAATTTATTTAGCAGACTAATACCTCTAGACTCTAGATTATTAATAACTCTTCTAAAAGAGTTAATATACTCTTCTAGATTGCCTTTATAGCTATTAAGAGTAGTGTTTATTAGCTCCTTAGATAATAGGAACTCACTACTAAATCCTTTAGCCTTGTATAGATTTTTAAGTGTATTCTAAAGAATAAATAGATTGCTTATAAATCTAGTTTGTAGTAGAGGGATATCCTCTAAGGCTAGTTTAATTAAAGCTGTTGTCTTATAGGCATTTTTATCTAGGGTTTTAGTATTATCTACTATAGTAGCAGGATTACTAAGTATATAACTTAGATATCCTTTTTCTACTATAATAGCCTCTATTCTAATAGCCTAGATGTTATAGTTAAGACTACCTTTAAGCTTAGGGAGCTTAATAGACTCTAGCATCTTGTAAATAGGCTAGTTAGTCTTTTCTTTAAAGCGTCCTCTTTAGGGGCTTTTTAGAGGTAATATTTGCTAAAGAGAGTAAATATACTAGTCTCTCTCTAGGAGATTTAAGGACTAGTAAAGGTAAAGCCTATAAATAGAATGCCTACTAGTAATACTTACAGTAGGTCTTATATCTAATATTTTACTATTACAGGTGCTTAATGTACTACTAGTTTCTTATAAAGATACTAGAGTCCTTACTATAGAGCACTTATACACCTAGTTTTCTAACAAAGTACTAGGGTATATGTTGCAGCCAAAATAGAGGCAAAATGTACATACATTTGCACCCCTGAATTGGCTGGTAAATAGGCATGATATCTGCTGCGACACACCCCCTCACGTCCAACCAGGACCGCATAATTAGAGGTGACACAACGCAGCAGAATGCCTAATGTGCTAAGTAGGTGAATCCTTCTTCGTGATGCTCTACACTATGCTCTAGATGGTAGCCCTAGTTAAGCAGGTACCATGCCAAGGCTCGGCTATGGTCACCCATGGAACACGAAAATCCATTCAACCTTTGCTTGCGCAGCTTCAGCGTCCGGGCTCATAACTGTTGCAGCCAAAATAGAGGCAAAATGTACATACATTTGCACCCCTGAATTGGCTGGTAAATAGGCATGATATCTGCTGCGACAGTATATTATTTGTAATAGTGATAAAAGCAGCCTAGTTAAGTTCAGGGACTAGGATTAGAGTCACTAGTATAACTTATAATGCTACTAGGCACCTAGTTTTCTTAACAAAGTACTAGGTATAGCTACTGTAGACTAGGGGGGTCGTAGTAACCACAGTACTTTACTAAGGCTTTTAAATAAGATATAACTACAACAGTAAGTACTGTTAAGTAGTAACTCTCTTAGGGTTTTAATATATGCTAGCTAAAAGCTGTTTAATCTAGACTTTACTAAATATAGTTACTGTCTCTACGAACCCTAAGGTATAAGTAAGACTCTAGCTATAATAGTAATAGCTAGTATAAGCTTTTACAGTAAGCTTAGCAATACCAATACTAGTAAAGGTGACTAGTAATAGAGTAGTATATTTTTGCAATAATATACTAGTAGCTAGTACCCTAAAAGAGGTTGCCAAGCTCTAATAGGACTTACTATAGGATAACTTATAAGTATAGGAATAAGCGTCTATGTTATAAGTTATTGCGCCCTATAGCTTATACTAGTTCCT